CCTCGATTCAGATGATGGCCAAAAACCCTTACTGGGAACTTTAGGCTGCCCATGGCCTTGGGTTGGGAGCAGATAGAAAGCACCTAATGGCTATCCTCCAATGCCCTGTGCTCCCCAACCTATTGGAACTGGATCTCCTACAGTTATGTCCTCATTGGTTGACTTGCATCTTGTTGAGAGGTGATTCTTCTTCCATGGTAAGTATGGTAAATTCTGTGTTTCTAACGTTATTTCAGGACATGCAGAAAATGTTTTTCTGCTGATCTCATTTTGAGTAGCAAGATCCTAGAATAGTTCTTTTCTACTAAGAATGGTTGGATCCCAAATCTACTGACTCAGCGCATGCATCATTACAAGACCTCCCAAGTGACTCTCATGCATCAGTGAGAAGTACTGGCTAAAGGCTGCCTTTCCTGGATCCTGCCTGTCAGCCTGGTGTATCCCTTTGTGACAGTAACATGGAAGCAAAATGGAATTTCCTGTGTTAACCTTGACGAAAAGAATAAGTAAATATAGGAAGCAAATATAGCTTAGAGATCGTGAAGGAAGTTCTTATATGTACTTGATGATAGCAATAATTACAAAGACTGTCAGAATTAAAAATTTGTACATAGATCAGCACAACTCCAGTGACATGTGCTTCCCCATGAACAACTGTTCCAGAAGTTTCTGTTCCATATTATTGTGTCAAAATATATGATGAAATCCCCTCACCTGTGTCTTTAAAATCTCTCCTTGCCATAACTTTTTGAATACATACATAGCTTACTGGGACATACACGCCTATTGGAGACCAGGGTGTACAGGGTTAAGTTTATGAACCTAGGGACCTCTGGCCGTGTTGGAAAAGAGCATACGCATGGTGCTCGGAGGTCAACATAACCACAGTGAGGCAGCCAAGGACAGGGCTACAAACCCTATTATAGAACAATAAAGCTACCAGCCTTGGAGATAAGACTGTTCTCTTATTTGGGGAAGTTTACTACTTGGAGAAGTCTTTAAACTGACACTCAAGGTCCTGCTCAGTTCCCAGTCTTGCCTCAGTGTCCTTTGTTTGAAAACCAAATAAATATGAGCCTCCTGGAGAAGTTCTTTGTCTCAACCCCCAGGGAATCTCAAATTCTGTTAGAGGATTTTGATCTTCCTGGAGCCCTAAAATCATAACTCTTATCTCTTCTATTTAAACTGTTCATCATCTACTTGCCTAAGAGCCTGGAGCTAGGCCAAGACCCTAATACATGCCTATTACCATTGCAATGTTTTGCTGTTACAATATTGTTATTCTTTGGAGAGTATTCCTCTGATTTTTTCTTAGATTGATACAGGTATTGAGTGAAACTCTACAATTTTTCTCTGCTCATTTGGCTGGTAGTTATTTTCCCTAAAAACCACCAGAAGCCCAGGCAGAATGGTACTATGAGAACATTGACCTGTGTGTGTGAGACTGAAGATTTCTACTATGCATTCAATTCAGGACTGTCACAACCACGTCCTTGGCTTGGTGCTCTGCCCTATCTATCCTGAAAGTAGGAGAGATAAGAAATTCCTCCAAAATTGTGGCAAAGGTATTCCACTTTCCCATGGTGACCTCAAATTTCTCACTGCCTTCACTTCTTAGAGCCATCAGAAAAAGCTAGTTGAGGGGTCAGGGAGATGGCTCAGCAGAAAAAGTGCTTCCCTGGCAAGCGCAATGGTCTGAGTTTGATCCCCGGTTCTGAAAAAAAAAAAAAAAAAAAAAAAAAGAGAAAAAGAAAAAGAAAAAACTAGTTGACTCTACAATCTTTATAATTTTTATTGCTGCAGAAACCAAATACCAGTCACAGTGCCTTGCCCTTCACTTCCACTTCATTCTGATGGTAATGGGTGTGTGATCTGATGCCACCACGTATGTGTAAGACCAACAATAAATAGCCTGAAGGGACTCCCACCAAATTCATAATAGTTACTGTCATTGAAAGAAGAGAAGAAAAATTGGACACAAAAAAAGAAAGGGAAATTCCATTTTAGTGGCAATATTTTATATAGAAAACATTAAGACATGAATCTTATATAGCAAAGAGGCACATTTTTACATTTGTATTTTCTGTATTTTTCAAATTTTACATTCCCCCATTCTATATACATCATTATTCTTTTGATTGTGAAAAGTTTATCCTAAGACACAAGTTGATACAAGACTAAGCAAGTAATTCATAAACTATTATGTCAACGGTGCACTGGTTGTCACAGGAAATTCCATTTTGCTTCCATGTTACTGTCACAAAGGGATACACCAGGCTGACAGGCAGGATCCAGGAAAGGCAGCCTTTAGCCAGTACTTCTCATTGATGCATGAAAGTCACTCCGGATGTCTTGCAATATATTTGCTACCATAATTAGTGTCTCCATATACTACAAATATTTTAAATTCCTTCTCTATGTTCTTTCTCCTGTCATATTCCTGGCTTAATTTTTCTTTTGCTGTCTTAGGATTTTTCTCTTCAATTTATAGGAACTGTTCCTTTTTTTTTACTCTTCTATCTATTTATTTATTTATTTGCTTATTTACTTAGTACAGGGTCTCACTACACAGCTCAGACTTGTAGTGATCCTCCTGTCTCAGCCTCCCCAGCACTCAGATTACAGGGGTGCATCACCATATCCAGTTTCTTTCTTTTTTTTGGTTGTCTTTTTTAATTTTATTTTTATTTTTTACATAAAAAATGTATTATGTTCATAACTTTCATACAATTGATGACATAGAGAGCAGTACAGATTGTTGTGCATGTCACATATAATACCACACCCAGTTTCGATGTCCAGCATGGCATGCCCTGGAGTTTCAGGACCAGCACAGCATGCAGTACCAGGGATTAAATTTGGGTCCTTGCACTTGCCAGGCAGGTGTTTAGACTGCCGAGCCATCTCCCTAGCCCAGGAACTGTTCTTAAAAACCAGAAATTAAATATTTGTGATATTTCTTGCCCATATCCCATCAGTGGGTTGCTTCTTTACCTTTTGTGATGCTTTTAGTATTTTCCATCCTACTTTCTTATTGAGAGCCATAATGGGCTAATCCCATGTTCTCCTATGACTTCTGTCTGAAAATTTACAAAGTAAGTTGTTTTTTTTTTTTTTTTTTTTTTGTTTGTATTTTAGGGAAGGGTATTCAGGGTCTCACTACTAGATCAGACCCATAGTGACCCGCCTGTTTACAGCCTCCCAAGACCTGGGATTACAGGCGCACCACCATGCCCAGTCTCAATTGCCATCTCAGTGCCACCCCGGGGGCGGGGCCAGCACAGCAGTCCCGGGGATCCAACTCATAGCCCCTGCAGCTGCTTGCAGGCACTTTAATCTGCTAAGCTATTTGGCCAGCCCTAAATTTCTTTCTATTGCATCGGAAATAAGTCAATTCTTGTTCAAATTCATACCTCTTACAATAAGGATTTAAATTTTCTTCTTCTTGTTCGTTTTGACAACAAAGAATTAACTCTGCACCTTTTTTTTTTCTTGAGGAACCAGGGATTGAACTCAGGCCCTTGCACTTGCCAGGGAAGCGTTTATTCCACAGAGACATCTCCCCAGCCCCAGAACTTTTTTAGTTTATATCTCTTATAAATGATAGGTTAGCTTGTTTTTTTTTTTTTTTTTTTTTT